CTTCCAACAATACAGCATCCTATAGACCAATTAGCCTACTCCCAGTCCTCTCAAAAATTTTTGAAAAGATCCTACTGAAACGAATCCTACCTATAATTGAATCCTATAACCTTCCTACTCATCAATTCGGATTTCGTTCCCAACATTCCACTGTCCAACAAGGACTCTGAGTTGTTGACCATATATCCTCAACCCTAGACAGCAAGCAGTATTGCTCGGGTGCATTTCTGGACATAGCGCAAGCTTTTGACCGGGTATGGCACGCTGGATTACTCTTCAAGCTTAAAATCCACCTACCACAGTCCTTATACCTAGTACTCCGATCCTATCTTTCCGACTGCTCCTTCCGAGTTCGCTGTGGCACCGAATTCTCCGACTGTTACTCAATTGAGGCTGGCGTTCCTCAAGGCAGCGTCTTGGGCCCCATCCTTTACATTCTCTTTACCGCTGATATTCCTGTCCATCCCGATACCCTCCTGGCAACTTTCGCTGATGACACTGCTATCCTTTCTTCCATCTCAGATCCTGAAACAGCGTCCGCAAACTTACAAAGGCACCTCTTCCTGATTGAACACTGGTGTAAGAAATGGCGCATCAAGGTAAACGAAAATAAATGTAAACACATTACCTTCACCCTTCGGCGTAATACCTGCCCACCAGTTTATTTTAAGTCCATCCAGCTTCCTTTCTCAGATACAGTCCGGTATCTTGGCTTTCTCTTAGACAGACGACTAACATGGAATCCACATACTAGACTTAAAAGACAGGAACTTAACAGACGATATGGCCAGCTATATAGACTACTGAATAGAAAATCTAAACTTTCTGGTGAAAACAAATTACTGATCTACAAGACAATACTGAAACCCATCTGGACTTACGGACTAGAACTATGGGGAACAGCTAAATTTTCTAACATCAAACGCATTCAATCCTTTCAGTCTAAAGTCCTCCGTACAATAGTCGATGCTCCCTTCTATGTAACCAATAAAACCCTACACCATGACCTTAATATCCCATTTATTCTTGATCTTATCCCAGCCAAATTTCACCAGAACCTTTCTCATCACCCAAATCCCGTTGTACAATCCCTATCAAGCACCACCCATCCCTACAATCCCCTTCGTAGGTTAAAGCGGCAGTGGCCACGAGACCTTTTGTAAATATGGATATTTTGGAGTTCTAGCAATGGCCAGATTCTCCACTCAAGTCATGAGTGTCTGTGGCTATAGCGCTCTTACTCATCCTCTGCTGGTTTAAAATACCAGTGAAGTGGCTGAGGGAGAAGCGTAGGGATCTCCTAAGCCTCCCTTTTCCCTCCACATGTGGAGGGGACAGGATTGGTTCGGAGATCACCTGGCAAATTGTAAATAATGTACATAGGTATGTTTTATATAAGGTGTTTGTTTTACTTTTATTTACTTATGTATATATATATTTTTTTTTTTCTTTACTCTTTTGTTCTTTTTTCTTATTCTTTTGTTATTACTTTATTTATTTATATTTTTGTATATACGGTATGAATGCAATCTCTGAACTCTATTATAAGTGTCCTTAAACTGTGACAAATTGTAATATTTCTGAATAAAGTGTTTAATAGATAAAAAAAGTGTTTTTTCAAGTAAGTCATGCTTTTTGATAAATAGGAAGCGATAACTTAAGAAATATTTATTTTCAAGTTTATTTATTATCAGCCAATTTTACACCAATTTTTAAAATTTTGTCAACTTAAAGACATCACATCTAATTACGATGTTTCGGCTCGTTGAGCCATTTTCAGTGACTGTCACTGAATAGAAATGAGACGGATGACATGTCGGTAACACATGATAAGGTGGACATGACAAAAATAAAAAATTTTATTATGAGTGGATGCATTCAATTCGCATAAGTGAAATGTTCTACACTGAGCGTCTAGCCGTGATTACCTGTCATAGCCGATTGATTTTTTGCAGGACAAAAAGAAGACAACTTTCTCATCAAATTTCAGCTCGGGGTAATTTGATATTCAGATTTTAATTTTTGACGAGAGTTTAGTTAGTAATTTCGGCATTATTCATTTCTTTTTAACTTTTAATGATAATGTATTCTAAAATTCATTTCAAAGCCAGAAGGGAATACAAGTATCATCCTGGTTGAAGAACCAACAGGGCCAACGATACAAAAATAACACCAGATAATGCTGAAACCTAACGAGAAATCGAAAAGTAGCTATCAGAAACGAATGCAAATTTTCATACGTACTAGCTTTGACAGGAGACATAGTTACGAGTAGTGATAAGAAATTTGCACTCCTCAACCACAACTGAAGTTATTAAATACATGATTGGTATTTAGACTTGAAAATAACTCAATGAGCCGAAACATCGTAATTAGATGTGATGTCTTTAAGTTGACAAAATTTTAAAAATTGGCTGATAATAAATAAACTCGAAAATAAATAGTATGCACCGAAGAAGAAGTTGAGAAATATTGTGAAAGAAATATTTAATTTAAGTAATTAACAAATTGCGTCAATGTAAACAAGATAACATTTTCTTCAAATAAAAATAGAGTTTGTCATTGTTAAAACCATTTAAATAGGACTTTTGAACAGCTAAACTAAGCTAAGTTCTGTTTTTAGAAAAATCATAAATGTAGGAATCAATCTGTATTTATATGTGACAAAAGAAAAGTTTTCAGCGCTAAAATTGACATTTAAAGTAAAAAAAATCATAAATAGTTAGCAATTTTTTTTTTATCATTATCCAAACTTACTGCAGATACCCCACTTTTAGAAATACTTCCTCGTTTAATAAGCTTCAAGTCCATGTTAATTAAATTGAGTTTTATTACACAAATTCTTGAGATTCGCCTCAAGAAGGTGTGTAAAGAAATGTGATTTTTTATCTTGTCACATAAAAGTACCTGTGATTTCAACAAAATCTACTACAATTAACTGTTGCAAAGCTTTTACTTCTTGTTTTTCTATAATCTGGAATATATTACAATAAAAATAATTACCTAAATACACTTTTAATTTATAAATAAAAGTAATAATAATAATGATTTGTTAAATATTTTTCATATGAAGTGTTTAAGAAACTGTATTTTTCTACTAGATCTCTGTCAAAGGAGTTGATCCATATTTATAAGCGGCAAATTTATCGTTTCTAGTTCGAAGATTTATGTTAAATTTTAGGACTAGAAACATTAAATTTGTCACTTAAAAATACGGGTCAATTCCTATGACAGAGATCTGGGGAAAAAATACAGTTTCGTAAATACTTTACATGAAAAATATTTTTAAAATTATTGTTATTATTTTATTTATAAATAAAGAGTGTATTTAGGCAATTTTGTTTATTAAAATAAATCCCAGATCATGAAAAAACAATAAATAAAGGCTTTGCAACAGTTAATTGTATTCATTTTTGCTGAAAACACGAGCACTATTCAGTGACCGGATAGAAATTGACATCATTTCTTTACACAACTCGTGGTGAATTTTAAGAATTTGCCAAATACACCTCAATTTAATTAATATAGACTTGAAGCTTATTAAACAAAGAAGTTTTTATAAAAGTGGAGTATCTGAAGTATAATTGGATAATGATAAAACAAAAAAAATCGCTAATAATTTGATTTTTTTTTTTTAATAAAGAACTTAGCCAAGTTTAGTACCTCTTTAAATGGCTTTAATAGTTTCACTTGAAGAAAATTTTATCATGTTTACATTGACACAATTGTTAATTAGTTAAATTAAACGTTTCTTTAGTTATCGCTTCCTATTCATCACAAAGCAAGAATTCCTTAAAAATAACCAAACTTGAATTTATTAGTTTTCTGTTGAGAATTGGCCCATTGTTTATATGTACTTTTTAGTAGGCTTTTGAAGTCTGCTGTCACTCCTATAAAAATTTCCATCTACTTACGAAACAGTATATTACATATGTAGGTGAGTGAAAGTAAAAAAGAATAATACTTTAAAATTGTCACTCTTACATGGTGATGGAACAAGATCACACTGTAGATAGAATTTGAAAATGATTGAGTATTGAAAATTATGAACAAACTTACAAAAAGTCCTTTTCAGTTGAGGTGGTAGATTGACCAAGGGGGTCAGTCGCCTCCATCGTCTTTCAGACCAACAAAACAATTTTTGTAAATGTATTTACAATGTGTTGAATGTTATCTGGGCCTAATTACAATGTCGGACGGACACCTATGAACAAACAGTACCGGGAACTACTTTATAAGTGTTGCAGCACTTTCATAGGTGAACAAAAATTCACTGTAAATGGAATCCGGAGAACGAGTTGCGAATGATTTTATTATGACTGTAATAAAAATTCTCATAACTACAGAAGTATTTTAACTATTAAACTAGTATATACTCGACCACATAAAACTGAAAGTTTAGCATAACTAAACTTCCCTTATTGCTGAATCATGGAAATATTTTTACTATTAAACAAATATAGAATTGATCACATATAACTAAAAGTGTAGCATAATACTTTTCCTTTCTAATATATAGAACTTTCAAATAATGCACAAATACCTAACAAGGTTTTCATGTTTATCATGATGTTATCAAAGACTTAACATCACTTTTAATTCAGAATAGCAAACAAAAGTAAATTTAAATCTCCCAGATCTACATAGTAACAGTAACTTTTTAAAACATTACAAAATATTATTGAATAAATAATTATAATACTTATTTATTTATTTTTTATTAAATATATGATAAGTAAATATTACTATCCATCCTTCAGAAAAAATTAAAAACATAATTACATGTCAAGCAGAAATGAAAGCCAACATTAATAAAACCAATGCTGATATATCTAATTAGTAAAAATAAAAGGTAAAAGGACATGAAATGAAAAAATTGTGTATAGAAAAAACAGAACATAAAACTGATGAACCTACATGTTAATAATTAAATGTAAATCAACATTTCAAAAATTAGACAATTAGTGTCAAAAAATGTTAATTTCAATATAGAGAATTACCTATGAAATCCATAATTAATATCACAGATAGTTTGTGGTGATATGAAATAAATTATAAAACAAAATTCAAATCAACTCAAATTTCAAACTTTAAGCTGAAAGGCACAAGTATGTCGTAATCGATCTATCATATCGTTTTCCAAAGAGTGCATTGACTACTCTCATAAAACTAAGAAAGAAGTATTACCCATGTTAGATCATGAAATTAATAGTCAACATTTAAAAAGCATCCAGTACTTGATAAATAAGATTTATGTATATCAAAGGGTAATTTCTCTTCTCTTTTGAGACAAGGGAAAATTTAAAATCAGACCAAGCTAATATTCTCCTATTTATATACAACATAATACTAGGAACATATTAGTAAGAATATATAAGGAGTTAAGCTGAACCTTGATAAGATAAAGATTCAAAGTGTGTTTGTCCAATTTAGTTTAATAAAGCCTAAATATCGGAATTCTTAATTACATTGCGTGCTTCAATATCAATTTAAGCCGCTAATTTAAAAGCTCTAAACGATTAAATTGTTCGAACTCACTGGATCTCCTCTTCATCAGGAGGGTTAAGAATAACAAGGCCCCAGGCATAGACGACCTAGCACCGGAAATTTTAAAGTATGGTGGCCATGAGCTTACCATGTTTCTAAAGGATCTATTTCTGGACATTTGGAAAGATGAAGGGTTACCTTTGGAAAAGAAGACCATCCCATATTCCCTATTCACAAGAAGAGCGATGCCCTACAATGCAAAAACTATAGGGGAATATGTCTCTTTCGCTAGACAGATCGACAACAGACGAAATATTCACTCTCCGTCAACTTCTTGAAAAAAACCAGAGTATGAAATTGACACACACAATCCAGTAGCAGATTTCCAGCAAGCATTTGATTCTAAAAAGACGAATGAAGTCTACAAATGTATGATTAGGGACTGCATCTTCGTAGTGCAGTAAAAATCCGAAAAAAAGTACAGCCAAAATTTGCAATATCTTGTAGTAAATTGCCAACATATGTAAAATTATGTCATTAACTCCTAAAAACGTGGAAAAATCATCTATTCTGTTTAATTTATTATATTAATACATGGAAATCTGATCCAACCTTGCTTTTTGAAGCAAGATGATTTGGCATCAGAATTAAAATAATGTGTACCGAGAAAAAATAAATACAAGCATAAAACTAAAATGCAACATTGTAAATGGAACTCCTACGAATTTTTAGGAAACTTTACAAATACTTCTTCTTCTTCTTCTTCTTTGTCTTCCTCTTATACCATTAGTTAGCGTCGAGGAGCCTCAATCCAGCGTAACCACTCTTTTCGGCCCCTGCTTAGTCGCTTCATTTTATTGAGAGTCCTTCCAATTCTTTGGATATACTCTTCGTATGTAATTCTGGAGCTTCCGCGTGGTATCCTTCCTATGGGTCGAGCCTCTAATATCATTATAGGATTCATATCCTCGTTCATGTGGCAAACATGTCCAAACCAATCCAGTTGCCGCCTTTCTAGAGTGGTTTTAAGTTCGGTAACTCCTAGTTGCTCTCTATTGCGATCCCTTGTAGTTCTCCCAACAGATCTGCCCTGTTGGATCCTCATTTCTTCTGCGGTTATGCGACTAGAGTGCCTGTCCAGCATTGTCCAGCTTTCTCCGCCGTAGGTGAGTGTAGGTAGGTAAACGGACATATTTACATGCATTTTGGTCTTCTTCTCTACTTCGCGGTGGCCGATGAACCTATTAGTAATCTGGTAATACACTTGATTCGCCTTACATATTCTGTTTGGTATATTGGCGTCTATCCTACCCGAGCTACTAATTACGGTCCCTAAGTAGGTATATTCACTCACAACCTCAAGTGTCTCGCCACTGCAGATCAGTTGTACATCTTCCCGTTCTTCCCTCGCCATAACCAGCACTTTACTCTTGGAGGTGTTAATTTGTATCCCTTTCCTGAGCAACTCTTCTTCCCATTCTACTAGAGCTTCTTGTAGTTTGGTGTGGGCTATTAGGAATAAGTCATCCTAATAAAAGGATTTATAAAATGCTTTACAAATACAGGTCTCAAAAATTCAAAAAAAAAAAAAAATCAATTCTTCAATAGATTTTTTTTTTCATACCTGTTCTACACTGAGCGTCTAGCCGTAATTACCTGTCATAGCCGATTGATTTTTTGCAGGACAAAAAGAAGACAACTTTCTCATCAAATTTCAGCTCGGGGTAATTTGATATTCAGATTTTAATTTTTGACGAGAGTTTAGTTAGTAATTTCGGCATTATTCATTTCTTTTTAACTTTTAATGATAATGTATTCTAAAATTTATTTCAAAGCCAGAAGGGAATACAAGTATCCTGGTTGAAGAACCAACAGGGCCAACGATACAAAAATAACACCAGATACTGCTGAAACCTACCGAGAAATCGAAAAGTACCTATCAGAAACGAATGCAAATTTTCATACGTACTAGCTTTGACAGGAGACATAGTTACGAGTAGTGATAAGAAATTTGCACTCCTCAACCACAACTGAAGTTATTAAATAAGAACTAACGATGCTTGATTTCAATGTACGTCAAGTAACCAACATTTTAAAGGAGAACAAGGAGCAGCCAGGGTTAAGGAATAAAATCTCACTACCTTTGTTTTTCGGAGACTTGGAGCCATCACCAGGTATTGAAAAAATATACAATATCACAAGATTGTATTACACAATGGTGAATGTAGAGAAACCATATCCCAAATGAGAAATCGTGCAGTACCATAATTATCAGGCGTACGGCCACACGAAGACATATTGTCACCATCTGCCGCATTGCGTGAAATGCGGTGAAAAGCACAAAACTGTGGAGTGCACAAAAACTTATATAAGATCCTGCAGTGTGTGCACTATGCTTGGAAGGATTTGTACCCGGCCAAGTACAAAGGCTGCCAAATTTACAAGAATTTCAAATCCAGACACCAGAAAAACCGGATTCAAGATGAAATAGTAAAAAAAAGAGAGAAAGGGCTTTCTAAAATAATAACTAATAGTGTATCATTCTCCCAACTATTTGGAGGTAAGAAATCAACCGATAAATGTCAAGTCCTGCCATAACAACAACCTCAACCCCAACCTCAAAATCCTATTCATCCTAATATACCTAACCATTAACAACAAATTCATCATATTCCTCCTCCTTCAAATGCAACAGATCTCATCAGTTTCTTACCATCTTTCTCCAACGATTTCAAATTCTTTGTTACTCCACTCATATCACTCCTCACAAATCTTGTGTCTTACCCCATTCCACCTTTAAAAAATCCTTAAATGACTAACATTCCCAAACCCATAGACATTCTCCTTTGGAATGCGAAGGGTGTTAGAAATCACGTTGACGAACTAACAGATTTTCTACTGGACAAGAACATCAACGTAGCACTAATCACGGAAACTCAACTGACCAGAAAACAGCTTTTAAAAATACCTCAATACATAACATACCGTACTGACCATCCTGACGGTAGAGCACATGCCGGTACTGGTGTTATTGTACACAATCCCTATCTCATCATCTGCTCCCATTACCGACTAAAGATTTTCTATAAGCAGCCGCCATCGTAATCAAGACTTTCTCCTTTTCCGTCACCATAGCATAAGCATATTGCCCTCCTAACAGATTCATATCCAATGTTCAGTTCAGTTCTCTTCTAAACTCCTTAGAACACCACTTCATCCTGGGTCCAGATTTTAAGATCCTTGGATGGTGGAAAAAATAGTGACACAAAAACACCTTTTTAAAGAAAAGAGAAATGTAGAGAAAATTATCTTCATACAAGAATTTCCGAATGTAATATAAAAAAAAATTATTATCGTGACCAGCACTAGCGAATTCTGCCAGGAGGCGTGCCCTTCCTTGCATGTTAGAAAAAAATATCGAAAAAAGAAACAAAGAAACACCTATTTAAAGAAAAGAGACATGTAGAAATGAATGGACTATCCTCCAGCAAAGGGGCATTTCCCGACTAGTGGAAAGTATGCTGAGGCGTCTGCAAGAAGTAGTGAAGGCAAGAGGAGGAAACACGCGCTACTAAACGATGATGTAATTAATTTCTTTTAGAATAATAATGGTTCGTTTTTCAATTTTTTTTTCTCTAATCTTTCTAACCCAATCACATTTTGAATATTAAAGGTAAAAAAGATTATAAAATTCCATAAATACTAAGTATTATCTACAAATATCATGCATTATATACAAATACAACTTTACAGAAATATTTTTAGATGAAAACATGGAAAAATCAAGTGGGTGGAATTTTTGGCTGTCAGTGTATATATATATATATATATATATATATATATATATATATATATATATATTACATCTAAAATATCAGCATGGTTAAATGAGTTTACAATCAAGGAGATAAAAACAATTTTATATATTGAAAAAATTATCATTTTCATAAAAATTTTATTCGTTCGAAGACATTCACACCACTGTAGGATCTACTGACACATATACACACATAATTGTGTGTACGCCTCTACATTAAATGATGAATCTGAAAATCTCAGAGGAAATATTAAAGAAATTGGTGGAAAAGAGGCAGGAATTGGAAAAGACCAAGATGAAACATTAAAATGTTATGTATTAGGTTCCATAATCATCAAAGAATTATTTTTCCAGGTCGATAAGGAGACCCATGATCTCTTAGCCAATAAAGAATAATATTTAGGCCCCACAACTTCAGTCGAACCCCCGATATCAGAACGGAGGTCTCCGTAAGTAGAAGGTGAACCAGCCAAAATAGAAACTACTGACTCATAAAATATCATTACCTAGAATTAATAAATTTGTTTAATAAAAGAATACAAAAACAGAGTCAATCACCATTCTTATTTTAAAAGATTATGTATATAAGGGTTATAAGGCTCTGAACCATGTTAAGGCAGGCCGTTTAATATCTCATTTTAAGACACGGTAGCATTTGTCCCATTCCAGACGGCAAAAAGGGGTTTTAATTTAACGTCCCTTCCGTTGACGAGCTAATGGGTCCTGGCGAAACCATCGTTAGGTTAATCATTCTGGATAATTGTAAATAAATTGTATATAATTAAGTGTAAATATAATTTTGTAAATAGGATGTTAGGAC